GTAAAGATTGAGCATAGTGGACAGAATAGGGAAATATTTGGTAGGTTAGAGGGAAATTTGTAGCTGAGTCAAAGGAAATGGGAAGATGATACCACCATAGGGTTTTTTTTTTTTTAAGGGAAAATGAACTAACCTGCAGCTACCTCTAGTTTTGAGGTCATCCCAGCATCCCTGCACCCCCACAAGAAATAAGCCAGACCACTGAAAAAGCAAGTACCAAACGATGAAAAGAATCAGCAAGTAATATGAAATAAAAAATATTACCAAATATTAAATAATATTTTGGAAGTATTATCGAATATCAGAAGTCTGCTACTTGAGAGAGAAGAAATGTAATTGTTTTTGAAAGGAACACAGTTGACCCTGTATAGTCCCCTGAATTTCCAAATGGAGTATTTGCTACTTAAAAAAACCCTCAACATTGGAATTTTTTTTTTTTACAAAATATACAAGTAAATAACTATCAGTACCCTATTCTTAGTCAATCTTACTATGAAAAACTACCCTTTGCAGTGATGATTAAACCAATGTGATTTGATCAAATTTTCATGTGAATTAATTTGATACAGTATTGTAAGCATGCTTAATCTCTAGCTTCATTAACTACTCCTAGGATTGTGTCAGAAGTTTAAAAGACACAAATCTAAAACAAATCTTATATTTTTTTATTTTTATTCTTTATTTAAAAGATTTTATTTATTTATTTGACAGAGAGAGACATAGGGAGAGAGGGAACACCAGCAGGGGGAGTGGGAAAGGGAGAAGCAGGCTTCCTGCCGAGCAGGGAGCCGGATGCGGGGCTCGATCCCAGGACTCTGGGATCATGACCTGACCTGAAGGCAGACGCTTAATGACTGAGCCACCCAGGTGCCCCAAATCTTATATTTTTTTTTAAAGAAAATATATACATGAAAGATTCAAATGAGTTCAAAATAGGATGTGGGTGCCAGTATGATATGGAAAACATGATGTACAGTTGCTGCAATCAAAATAAAATAAGATTTCAGAACCAAAAGCTCTGGGGATAAATTTAAGGTCTGCCACTTATGAGCCAGATGATCTTGAAAAAGTTACATAACCCTTTTGAGACTCAATATCCTTATTTTTAAAATTAAGATAATAATATTTAACTCAGATGTTTGCTGTGTTAAGTGAGATGGTGCCTTTTAATACACCTAGCAATGGATGATAGTAAACAAATAATCCATAAATGAGAATCTACTTCAAATGAGCAACTATTAGCTTCTACTAGAAATGCAAAGGACATTTATAAATCAATAACAAAGAATGAATGTTACCTGTTAGTCAAATATTATGATAGGGACAAATTCTAGGAATCATCTCTGTAGGGCAGGGCTTATTTATGCAGGATTTAGGTCTGTCTAGAATACAAAACATTGACCTCTGCATCAGATATGCACAGGTTTGTTAACATCTCCCTGAAAATCCAGTGGGAGAAAATCCAAGGAGATTGAAAAAATTAGGTGCGTTTAGGTCTGCCTGCACCATTATGCTGGCTGAGATATTCACTAAGGTCTCAGGGGCTTCATTTATTCTTCTCATTATTCGTGTATAGGTATTACAATGGCAAACATCTAATTAGTTTTGAAATTTGATTTCAACCAACACAATTAATGTGGGCTATCCTTTGGTCATCTATTGCTAAGAAGTAGCCATGACAAGGTGCCTAGAATTACTTTCTTAAACACTGTCCTTTCTTAAACAGAGTGTTTAAGAAATGAACCATATTCATGGTTCGTCACACCTCAAGGAGTTGCAAGAAGAGCCAGGGTGTGCTTTTCTCTGTGTAAAACTGACCCATGATCCAATTCAGCATTGGCATTTCCCACTTATCACATAGATCTCCCCACCAAATCCCGGACTCCTGAAATAGACAGAGATGAGATTAACGAAGATACTTCTTCCTTTCCCTACCTCATATTTATCTCTATCCCAATCCTCCCTTTGGATGACCAAGAATCTCTTCCTTGTTCCTGATTTCCATATGGTTTTTCATAAATGATGTTACCATTTGTGTTGTTCTGAAATTGCTTTCTTTTACTCAAAAAACATTTTTTAGATAATTCCTTGTATGTATTAATCTCCTTCATTCTCTGTAAAGATCCATGGGTATTCCAAGTATTAATTAGTATTTATTTAGCTATACCCTGCCAATGCTTCATTGTGCTCATATACCAGTAGTTCTTTTGGATATACTCTAAGAAGTGGAATTACTGGGGCAAAAGCTTTGCCCAATTTAAATTCTGATAGATACTGCCAAGTTGCACTTCTTCATTCTTTGCATCTGTGTGTGTATATATAAATGTGTGTGTGTGTGTGTGTGTGTGTGTGTGTGTGTGATATTCTGGGTAATTCTTAAGGCTATATTCCAGCTCATTAATTCTCTTCAGTTATGTATAATCTACTATTTAATCTGTTTTTTTCTGAGTATATTTTTTATTTCTAGACTGTTTTTTATTTTTTCAAATTTCTGTTTTTGTTTCTAAAACAATTTTTTGTTTCTAAAACAAAAACCCTTCTGAGTTTTCTTATTCTTCTATTTCTTCAAAATATTAACCAATATTTTATAATGTCTATTAGAACCTCAAGTTCTTGATGGTCTAAATCTGCTCTTTGATGTGTCTGCTGACATACTCTTGTCTATTTCTGTTTGTTTTTGCATTTGCTCTTTTGTAATTTCAAATTTTGAGCACATCTTTTTTTAGTGGGGTTTTGTCCATGTTACTCTTGTTTAGCCTGGGTTGAGAGTATTTCTCCCAAATAAGTTTTGTTCTCTATTTCTGCTAGCTTCCTTCTATATCACTGGCTCAGGATAAATTGTGATGCTATTTTCTCAACTTGAAGTTCTACAGAAGAGGAAGACAGTAAAATTTGAACCCCACATGCATATTTGGTACAGAATTTGGTCTAAAATTCCCAAGAGAGACATTTTTTCCTTCCAAAAGATTTTACAGTCTCATGGTTGAAAAATTGATTTTATACTACCATGCCAAGCAACACTTGAATATATCCCTTTCTGCAAGTAACTACAATGTACAGTTATTATAATCCCTGGAACTCTGGGAAGCTGGGGGACCTGGCCTTATAGAAATTTAGTATTCCAGAACCTTATACAATCTCCCAATAAAGATTTTAGCATCAAGGGGTCATAGTTTACACTTTCAAGAGATTAGATTAAAAACTTGTAATGACCAGCTTCGTGTTTGGAAAGAGTGTGTTGCTAACACTGATAATTGTGATATGTGTTGAATACATTGATGCGAGAACTTAAGGGAAATGTCTTCTCCTAAACTGAAGGAAAAAGCAAGATCCTATGACATGTCTGTGTGGCAGTCAACAAAAATGTCCCACTCTCACATGGCAAGGGAAATCTCATCGTTTTTCATTTTAGAGTCAAATTTCTTTATTCTGTGATACTAGAAACTGACACCAGGTTGAAAGCTCAAAAGGCTCTGTGGTTTAAAGGAGCCTCCACACCTACTTGAGGTTTGTCAGCCCTGGTACATCCTAGGCACATCTAGGTCTTCCTGAAAGTTTTACGTTAGTAGCGCACAATAAATAGACAAAATATCGTGACTTAAAGTCAAGAATGCCATATTCCTAGTCAAATTGCTCTGGAAAGTGATTGACAAAATACAACAGGACCTGCAAGATCACTTGTTGTCAAAAAAAGATTGAGATTTTGATTATAGTTTAGACTTTAATTGATTACCTCTTATGGTTGATACCAATCCCCAAACCAACAGCCAAAATATTCCAGCTTCAGGATTAAAGTATTTGTGGAAATGCCTCAGTTGGAGGTTTAAGTGTCCTTCCTTCTTTGTTTTGCATTTATATTATTTGCATGCGATGTATTTTTTAAAGATTTATTTATTTGTTTGAGAGGGAGAAAGAGAGCACGAGCAGGGGGAGGGTCAGAGGAAGAGAGAGTCTCAGGCAGAATCCCTGCTGAGCATAGGGCCCATGGGGCTCAACCTCACAATCCCGAGATCATGACCTGAGCCGAAACCAAGAGTCAGATGCTTAACCCACTGCACCACCCAGGTGCCCCTGCATGTGATGTATTTTTATAGATTTATTTTGTACAAGGGCAAAAGTTGTCACAAGGAAGTTAAAGTCTTCTGGTTTGACATTTGCTCTTTTGGGCAGGTAATTTGTAAAAGTTGACAGAAAAATCTCATATTCCTATGTGGGCATAGATAGCATTGATCAATCCACAAGCGTTTCTCACACACAGACCATGGCCACGAACTCAGCCAAAGAAGGGAAAGACTTGCGCATAATCAGAGCCACCTCCCTGTGCCACGTTATCTACCAAGTGTAGAATGAAGGAGATTTAGTGTTTGCCTTCTATAAATATAAAAAATAGTGAGAAAACATAGATTCGCAAATGCCCCTATAGACAGTATTCTAAATGACTGTCTGGTAGCTTGATTTCCTGAGTGTGCTATCAACTTATCTTTCCTCTCCTCCCCTCTCCTCTCCTTCTCTAACACATAGCTATAACCACCCATTTACAATTGGAAAATAAGTGAAACAAAAATATTTTCACATATTCTGATGGGTCGTTTGCAAACGTGTAGTATAACCTTGTAAACAAGGACGACTTGATATTCAATCCTCTTGTAGACAGTGGTAACCTATATGCTAAGAAGCAAGTAATATTTGCAGATGAAACCTTAGATACCAACCACTTGGCTAGCCAATATACTCTGAGGGAAGCAACATGTTGATCTGGGTGTAATGGGACATGTAATATTGCTCGATCAAGACTATGCTTCTGTGGTTGACTCCCCACATTTTGCAAAGATCTTTGCAAGAAATCACATTCAGAAACATCATATGGACATGGTTGAATGACTCAAGTTTTGGTTAATAAATAACTTTCTTCTAAATTGGCTTCTTACTGGTCTCACAGGCTTTCTATTCAGTTTTCTTTAGTCTCTCTAAAATTTCCAGGAAAAACTCTGAGTCTCAAAATGCCTCTGAACAGGAATAAGCTGTTTTTACTACTTGGAATTCTCTGTTTGGAACAAGGTAAATCTGCAACTCTCTCTCTCCCCAAAGGTAAGTTCCAAATGAACTCTATAACTACCTTCATCTGAAGGAATAAACTTTGCTGGCAATGGGCATCATTACTCCATTCAATGTTCCTTTGGGAAAAACCGAAGCAGATACATTTTGGAGATCTGTTTTTCATGTAATTATTTTGGGCTTGTCTCCTGTAATCAGCATATGAAACTGCATAAAACATTCATGGAATACAACTTGGACAAATGGCATTGATCTGGAGAAAACTGGGATTATTCACTTATTTGGACACATTACAAAATCCCATCCTTTTTCATGGAGCAAATTCTGGAAGTCAACATATATTTGAAAGCATTTGTAAGCTATTGGAAAATTATCTTGCTGGGAAATATGAAATATGTTAACTGTGGTGTATTAGGAATGGTCTTTTTCCCCTCAAGTAACATAAGGTGAGAACAGTTCTTGGCGGGCTTCTCCATAGTGAGAGTTGTGCCAGCCCGAAGAATCATCCTGTTTTCTGTCTTTGCCTCAATGAGTTCAGGAAATAGTAAGTTTTGTGACTAATTTATTTATGATTCATTCAACTGAAACTGTTAGAAAATAAGCTTTTGATTCAATGTCATGCCTACATTAGGTTCAGAATCAAAAGGCTCAGTGTTACATCCATCCTTTGCTGTTAATTAGCTGTGCATTTCTTTGATTCTTCATTTTCTCATCTGTAATGCAGGGGCAATAGTGCTTGATTCATAGGCACAGAATGAAGATTAAATGAGAAGTTATTTGTAAGAGCTTTGTGTATTTTAACATATTAATCCAAATAGTTACACTCTCAAGGATATGCTGTCCAGAAAAAAACATTTGTTTATCTATCCAACTTTTCTAAGTGTCTACTGTATGCTAGGAATTGTGCGAAACCTTGGAAATACAGAGATGAATAAACATAGGGTTTTTTTTTCCTCATGCAGTATATAGTCCAAATAGAGGCAGATAAACTACTCATTATCACACTACTGCATGGCACAAGCAATGAAAGTGGGGAGGAAAGAGTACTGCACAGTACAGGAGAGACACTTAACACAGCTTGAGGAAATCAAGGAAGACTTCTCAGTTGAGGTGATGCCTAAGCTGAGGAATAAGGATGAGAGGGTCCAGCTAGATAAAGAAATGAGTGATCATGAGGCAGAGCTTTCTAGGCCCTCCTTGAAAACAGGTAGAAAAGAATGATCTGCCGAAGGGACAGAATGTGTACCATCCTTGAATTACCAGGCAGTCCGAAACATCTTTTTTTTTTTAAGATTTTATTTATTTATTTATTTGACAGAGAGAGACACAGCGAGAGAGGGAACACAAGCAGGGGGAGTGGGAGAGGGAGAAGCAGGCCTCCCGCCGAGCGGGGAGCCCGATGCGGGGCTCGATCCCGGGACCCTGGGATCATGACCTGAGCCGAAGGCAGATGCTTAACGACTGAACCACCCAGGCACCCCAGTCCTAAACATCTTTAATCTAGCTCATCTGCTAGTTGAGGAGTCAAAAAAATCATCGAAGTTAAATAAGTAAATGCAACTTTTTCAGGGATAGCGTCCTCTCCACAAAAAAGAAAGAGCTCTTTTTGCCATTACCTGGCAACCCTTCTAGCCTAACACCACTCTGTTGTGTGAATCAAGGCACGGTCTTCTCTCTACTCCACTGTTCTTGAACAAACTGCCACTTTCTAATTCCATAGGGAATGAAGTCCAATATCTGACAGTGTGTCAGGTATCATGGACCATGGTCTCAGACTCAATCTCCTGGGTGGAGCAGAGAAGATGTACACACAATTACAATCTAATGCAGAGTATGGCATCACCCGCTTCACCAATTAACTGAGCAGCTTCTATGCATCATGAACTGCTCTTGATATTTTGAATTTAGATATTTCTAAGATTAAGTTCCTATCTTTGAGAAACCCACAGTCTAGTTGGGTTTAAAGACATAGAAATAACCATAATGGCATGTGATAAATGCCATTGAGGAAATCACAGAAGTAGAGTGCTGTGAGGAGCCTTTAAGGGACCAGATTGCTCAGAATCAAGGGGGCTCCATTCCTGCTGACCCAGTGGAGATCTACCTCTGAGGTCCTTAATCTTCATATCAGAAAAGTAGATCTCTTCAGGATATGCCTATTCTATGTGACAAAAGCTGAACAATCCCATGTACTGCAACTCACAGCAAATCCCACGGTTAACATAAAGTCATATTGTAATCTTTCTACATGCTCCATGTCCTACAGTTTTTTCTTGCTCAGAAAAGTTTCCTGTACTCCTCAGTTCTAGGAGCTATCTAATCACTAAATTTTTGTCTTCTCTCTTTCCCAGCTCCCACTTGTGGGCGGAGTTTCGTGAAGGTACAACCTTGGAATTACCTTAACATTTTCAGTCGCATTGTTGGGGGAAGCCAAGTGGAGAAGGGTTCCTACCCCTGGCAGGTGAGACTCAAGAAACATTCTCTGGTGGGTAGACTATGAGCTTTCTCAGGAATGGATGTCCCAGAAACACATGTTACTCATTAGTACACTCCTGTCTGCCTAACTCATCATCAGAGATCTCATGGGTGCATGCCAGGATCCAAGTCCCTCATGATGTCCACCCACTGAGTTCCAGAAAATGTATGTTCAGAATAATTACATGCACTATTGGCTTGCCCCCCAAATTGGAAATGCTACCCCAAACTTTCAGCCCCCAAGACAAAAATCCCACTTCAATAAGCTAAAAAACTCTTGAATTTACAATTAAAAAAACAATTTTCTGATTCAACAAACATAATTATCTCATTATTATTAAAGATGATCAGGTCTACTTTCTGTTTGGAGGTTTATACTATACCACAGGATCTCCTAGGGAATAGTCAAGAATACTGCCTCCTTAGAAGCTAATTTCCTAAGAATTTTCTCTCAATCTAACCTCCTGGTCTTTGCATGCCATCAAAATGCCTTTGTGCATCTGTCTCTAGCCTATGGTGTTCACATTTATTGTCTTTGAAATTCTCCCAACTTTCTTTACCCTGAGAACCATGTTGTTTTCTTGCCTCTTAATTTTGTGAGTAATAGCTCCTTACTTTTACTTTGTTTAAGTCAGTCACATTAATTTTTGGTCAGTGGACATTTAGTAATGGTTGGTTGATTGAGTTTATGTTTAGTAGGTTGACTGAATGGCTGAGTCATTGCCATTTGATTAACTGATGAATTAATTACTTGGTTGAAGAGTTAATTGATCAGTTGCTTATTTGATCAACTGGTTGACTAGTCAATTTAGAAGTTCATATTCAAGTCAGAGTCAGTGATTTTATTTATTTTTACTTATTCTTTTTCCCTGTATTAAAATTTTTTCAGTTGTTCATTGAACAGTTTTTGATCAAAAGTGACAATTCTAATAAATGTCTTCTTTTCTCATTCTGACAATGGAATTAAGAGCATTTACTTGTACCCTGAAAGCATTTTAGAGTTAAATATCATGAACAGGATAAACCATAGAAAGTCATTGGTAGAGGCAGATTAAAAAATGGGCTTGAAGCAGTGACGGAAGTGAAATAGTTAAGGGCATGAGAAAATTGTAGGTACTGACTATTTCTTCTAAGAGGCTTGGAGGAATTGGAGCATGTGTGGAAAATTTCCTTAGCCTTCACCTGTTTTTCTCCCAAACCTGTTTATCTGGACTCTGCTGTATCTTATACTTCTTTTTCTTTCTCTTCATTCACAGAACTTGTTCATATTGCTAGAGTAACAGTCTGGGCCAACAGTGTTATGAAAATAAATAAACAAATACCAACAATTTTTACTACCAACTCTAGTAAATCCTTATAGCCAACCGTCTCAAATGAACTACCTCTCCTACAGACCAGGGTTGGGAATGTTCTGGTTCCAACACTGCTCTTCTTTCTGAGCTGTCATGGGATGGGTTTTACTCCTTCACAGTCCACAGTTTCTAATATTTGTAAGAATCTGGGTCTATTTTTCAGAATATGTTCGGTCTCCAGGTTTGGGGGGGTGGCCCCAGGGCATTAACGTGCTCCCACTTAGGCTCTTTGTAATTCAGGTATCCCTGAAACGAAGGCAGAAGCACATCTGTGGCGGGACCATCGTCTCTGCTCGGTGGGTGATTACGGCTGCCCACTGTGTTGCAAACAGGTAAGGAAGGCCTAACTCATGGATAGACCCCAGATTACCCTCCTTCTCCTTTGGGATCAGCAGCAATAACTCTATTAAAACATGGAAATGTGTGATGTATACTTTAGCACAGGAACATAACAAAAAAGCACAACACAAACAGGGATCGCTGACATCGTCAAAGGACAGTTAACTTGGTAGAAAGCATACTTTGTTTGCAGGAGTAGAATACTTTGTTTACTTAAATATGACTGGAAGTCATTAAAGAATGATAGCCAAGTGAAAACAAACATCACGAAGATATATTTGTGAAAATTCTCTCTTAAATTTCAGTGAAAAAAAAATAAGCTGGTTCATTATACATTTTAAAAAATTGATGAAAGAACTGAATTCTACTCCTGAGGCCAATATTGCACTGTATGTTAGCTAACTAGAATTTAAATAAAAATTTGAAGAAAAAAATTGATGAAAGAAAACAAAGGGAGGCCAGTAAAGAAGGCACCCGTGTCTGCTTTCCTACTAGTCCAGCCTCTCTGAGCTTCAATCTAACAACTTCCATTCTTTAACCAATTTCCTGTGTACTCTAAGTGTTCTCTTGTTATTACCGCTCTTGGTAGTTAGTCACTAGGGGGCAATCAAGATCATTTCCCGTATTTGCCCTCTTTCACTTCAAGTCTGCAAACATTCCCTGGATATTTACTTGGTGCTAGACACTTTGGTGGGTACCAAAGATACAAAGATAAGTAAGATGTAATTCCTGCCCCCCGCAGAGAGTTAATAGTCTAAAGGAGAGTCAACTGATAATTTCACTGCAGTGTGGCAAGTGACTAGGGTAAAGGGATGCTGTGTATTAGGTTAGGTACTCGATATAGCCAAGAGCCAGGGAAATATACCAAGAGAAAATCATGCCCTTTCCAATTCTGTATAAAATCATCACTTTGGGGAAAGAAGGGTCCCCAAAGATGGTAAGCCCAAAGTTTTTAATCTACCCCCAATGCATCCCACCAAGTTCCTTTCCAGATAACCTGACTACAGGATAAAGGGAAATAGAATGGTCTTTCCTATCTCACACCATGTCTCTAAATTACAAACATAAAGGCAGTAGGGGGAGATCCCCACCTCCCATTGTTTTAATCAGTCCCAAGCCTTGAGTGTGCATGTGCTCTGAGATATCAGAGTTATGATGCTATTATGTCTTTCATAATATACATTAAGCCTTAGTTCTCTGATACTAAAGCAGCATACTTAGGGGGGATCACAAATCATTCTCAAAGAATCACTGATACTGAGGCCAGGCCAACCACCTAGGGTAGTTGAATAAAATCCACTCTGGCTTCAGATCCTTGAGTTACAATACATATGCATTTTTGGACATTTTATGAATAACACTGCAAAGTATTCAATTTATCATATTATTGGTTCCATTTGAGGCCACTCTTGACTAGTCGCCCCTTAAATTGGGAACCGTTGTATTGTTACTAGTAGTGATGGAATCGTTCTCACTTTCTCTCTTTGGCATCCTCCCACCCACATTATCCATCCATGTCGTTTTAAAGAGGCCAGATTGTCAATCATTACAAGTGTCCTCAGCGGCTAAATGAAATTTACTCAGTTTACTGCTTCCTCTTCATAGAAATATTGCAACAACTCTGAATGTTACTGCTGGAGAACATGACTTGAGCCGTATAGAGCCAGGGGAGCAAACCCTCACCACTGAAACCATCATCATACATCCCTATTTCTCCATCAAGAAGCCAATGGACTATGATATTGCTCTTTTGAAGATGGCTGGTGCCTTCCATTTTGGTAAACACTTGAGGCTCACTGTGAATTGTCTATCCCATGTTCCCTATAACTTCTGCTCCATAACACATTCCCTACAACGTATGTTATATAGCATTATGTCCAACAGTTCTGGGTCATGCACTCCAAGATGGGGATCTGGGGTGGAGGGCCCCCTATGTGAAACCCTTTTTGTTTGTGGCTTCAGATACAGGATTATGTGGAGTCAGGAGAGAGTCTTTCTTTGTCTGATAAGTGACCCCTGGAGGTGCGAGGCACAGATATGTCACGTGATCTTTGGGGAACTACCTACATGCCAATTGGCAAGTGGCTTAGGATGTCCTCTCCTCCATGGGTGAGACAAGCCCTGCCCTGCTCTTTTCTTCAGGCCAGTTTGTGGAGCCCATGTGTCTTCCAGAGCCAAAGGAACGATTTGAGGCTGGATTTATTTGTACAACTGCAGGCTGGGGCCGCTCGGCTGAAGGTAAGAACTATGCCACTTCTCTTAATCAGATGTCAGAACTTTCTGGTGGGTAATCAGAAAATACAGTTTTTAATCTCTGTTTTAAAAAACAATTGTGTAAACATTTTAAAAGAGTCTATCCATTGTACTGAGAAATTCAGGTCTTTCCAAAAGATACAAACCTGAATGGGGCATCTTCAACTCGGGAAAGGCGAGGGTGCGTTGCTGGGACTCTCCCCTCTGTGTTTTCTAGATGGCGTTCTCTCACAAGTCTTGCAGGAAGTGAACCTGCCCATTTTGACCCAGGAGGAATGTATGGCAGCTCTGTTAACCCTAAAGAAACCTGTCAGTGGGCAGACCTTTCTCTGCACAGGCTTCCCAGATGGAGGGGGAGATGCATGTCAGGTAGGTGGGGAGTGGCTGGGTTGAAATGTCCCAGGCAGGGCTTCCCTCAGCTTTGTCATCAGGGGAGGAGCTGAAAGAAGGCTGTAGGTAAGACTGGACTCTGGAAAGAAGGGTCAGGAGTGACAAGGGAGGTCAAGTCAAAATAAAGGGACAGTTTATACAAGCTGTTTTTACTAGAGAGTGTGGATTCAGAGGAGGTCTTCTACTTTTTCCAAAATACCAAATAACAGGGATAATGCCAACAGTGAGCTTAGGGTTCTCTACCCCTGAAGACTGGCTGGCTTTTTCCCGTTTAGAGGTTTCCAATTTGTGGGTAATGGGAACTTTCCTTTCCTTCCATTCCTCTTGCTGAGCAAGACCTGAGATCAGTTTTACCATTGGGCAAGACTTCTCTGAGTCCGTAGGATGAGACAGGAGTAGGAAGAAAGTCTGATGTTTGATGAAACAAACATCCCCCTAGGATGGGGAAGAAAGAGGTGGAATTGGTAAGGCTCCAGTGATATTTGAGGATTTAATGTGAATTGTGCTTGGCTATTCTCCTGGGCCCCTGAGTCCAACTTATTAGAAGTGAAGAAATGTCACTGATCCTCATCTAGCATCTTTGTGGGGGAAAAGAGTGAGCACAGACCTAGAATGATGGTAAGAGAGGCTTTTTCCCCCTACAGGGAGATTCAGGAGGTTCCCTCATGTGCCGGAATAAGAAGGGGGCTTGGACTCTGGCTGGTGTGACTTCTTGGGGGTCGGGCTGTGGCCGAGGCTGGAGAAACAACACACGGAAAGATGACCAAGGATCCCCCGGGATCTTCACAGATCTTAGAAAAGTGCTTCCCTGGATCCACAAACACATCCGAATTGGTAATAACGCCAGCACATGAGGTCAAGAAGCTAGGGCCAGCGAGGGTGTCAGCAGTCTAGGCAAGTCCAGACAGGCTCTACTTCTGTTTTTAGTGTAGCACATAAGAATTGTGACATTTACAAGATTAAAATGAGTAAAATATGATGTGCAGTACAGCAAATATTCAAAGAATCATGAATCCATCCATCCTAGACTTTGCCAAATTTGCCTTTAGTTGAAACTATCAGTTAGTGATGTATTTTCATCACTTACTTCTCATCTGTGCTAGCAAGATGTAGCAAACTATAGTGGTTATGAACCAGTGGAAATTTTGCATCCCAGAGGGCAATGTCTGGAGACATTTTTGGCTGTCACCATGAGGGGAGGGGTGCCACTGGCATCTAGTGGGTAGGAGCTATGGCTCTTGCTAAGCATCCTACAATGCACAGGACAGCACCCATGACAAAGAACGATCCAGCCCAAAATGTGAGTAATGCTGTGGTTGAGAAGGCCTGGCACAGATCTGGGTACCATGAGTCTGAAAAGGTCAGGGTCTGTATATACCCTTCTCACTGACGAGGAGTTAATTGAAACTTCATTTCTGCCTCCAAAGCCAACTTCATTGTTTTATAACTAGTAGCTTCCAGCTTCAATAGGGCTTCTATTCTGTCCCAAAGAGGTTAATTCGAATTCATTCAGTAAGAACTTGGGTTTGTTTTCAAGTGTGCGGTCTTGTAGCAGGCATTCAAGCCCTCCAGCTGTAGCTACACCAGCAACTCTCTTATAGTGGTGGGTCACTTATTTCCATCTCCAGCCTGCCTGCTCATGAAAAATGAGAGAAGTAGACCAGATAACCTCTTGCTCTATATAACCTCCAAGCTAATCATGGCCTGTTTCTTAATTAGCCCACTTAATAAAGAGAGTGAAATTTCATTAAAACACCAAGGCGACTTTCCTGCTTTGTCACTTTACCCCTTCTGTTCTTTCTACAGATTAAATTTTCATTAGTTGCATATTGACTTAAAAATGCCTGCACTTTGGAGCCAGGGAAATGCTAACTTCTTGAAATGTTTTTCGGGATACCACACACAGACCTTGAATAGCATCTTTCTTTTTCTTTCCTAGGGAAGTGGACAAAGAGCTCCAGCGGTGGGTATTGCTCACACCCTGCTCCACGAGAAGCGGGAAGTAATATCTAGTATTTCTGAATATAGGTTCCCTTTATAATCAAAAGTCTTTGCAAGAGCTCTCTCTGCTCACTGGGTATAAAGCTACCCACACTTGGGGCATCCACAGCCATTCCTTGCCAGTCAGGGCAGGCCAGTGCCAAGAAGGAGCCCTGGATTCCCTCCTATTTCACTTCTTGAGAGCTCCATCTCAACTCAACAAACATTTGTCAAATCCTAGCTTTGGATCAGAGACTCGGGGGCAGGGAGAATGAGGTGGTGCGGATGTGGTCAATAAGCTACACACCTTACCCTGAAAGTGTCCTCGAGTGTACAAGGGGCTCTCCTCCGGGGTTACATGGCAAGTCTGCAGTGAATCCACTCTGTAATGTTGAGAAAGCTCCTTCCTACCTCTGGACCTCAGTTTCCTCATCCATAAAGAAAAGAGTCTGGACCAGATGGTCTCTAAGGCAGCTTTAGCTCAAATCTTCAGTGGTTCTGTGAGTCTGTGGAACCATCTACAAAGAACAATGGGGAAAAAGTACCCTGAGAACTAGAGGAGTGAGTGGCTGGGGAAAAAAGCCAGATGAGGCTTTGGAGCACAGACACCTTTTAAACTGAGTCACAGAAAAACGCAAAGAACCCGTAGAATGTTGTCAGGTGGAAACGGGATACAGGTAAAGAAAAATATTGCAGCTCAGGGAATCATCTTTGTCGAAAGATGACACTGAAGGACAGAGAACTGAAAATATAGGGGGTAAAAGAGACCAGTGCGTCAGTCAGAGCAGCTGAAGTGGGGGTGTATGTAATGGGGTTTGATGAGGGAGATTAGAAAATAAATTGAAACCAAGTAGTGGAAACTTTGGGTGCCTGTCAAAAAAGTTTGGATTGAGTAATAGGAAGTTGATGAATTAGATAAATAGGTTAGAGCAATACTCTGGTGGTACGAGAACAGCATGTAGGATATAGGTTGGGGGGGACTCCTGAGATTACACTTTAGTTCCAGAGACCTGGCGCAAGGGCTGGAGAATGAAAGCATGGGGATAGAAACAAGAGGAACCGGGACCCGGCAGTCACTTTGATGAAGGGTGGTGAGGGGCAGGGAGGAAGCAAGGATGGTACCAAAGTTTCGAGCATGGGAGATGAAGCAAAGGGCACATAGAAGTAACCTAAGGAGGGGGCGCCTGGGTGGTGCAGTTGGTTGAGCATCTGACTCTTGGTTTCAGCTCAGGTGGTGATCTCAGAGTTGCGGGATCGAGTCTCATGTCAGGCTCCATGCTGGGTGTGGAGTCTGCTTGAGTTTCTTTCTCCCTCTCCCCCAGCCCCTCCCCCTGCTCACACACCCTGTCTTAAATAAATAAATAAATCTTTCTTAACAAAAGGTAACCTAATCAGAAGGGGAAGCAGTTTTGCAGACCATTTGTAGCACGTTAAGGGGATATCTAGGAAGTGGTTGCAAAACCAGGTCTGCAGCTCAGGAGTGTAGAATAATAGTTGAAACTCAGGGTATGAATGAGACCCGTCAGAGGGCTCGTGTAGAGAGAGGTGAAAGCTAAGGATAGAACCTGGGAAATACATGTAGGTATAGAATCGAGTTATGATGCCAGAGAAAGACTAGTGAAGGAGAAGAAATCATCGAATCTCGAGGTTAAGCAGGATCTAAAAAAGAACAGAAAGAATAAGGCATGGCAGAAGCCATGGCAGGGAAAGCTTTCACAAGAGAGGAAGCATGCGTAACAAAGAACCAGGTGGTTCCGGTGTCTGCACAGGTTCTGGAAGGCTAGTGTCACCCTGCTTCTCATGGCTCTCTCTCCCAGCCCCATGCAGTGAGCAGGATCGTGTGCTCCGCGAGTCTGAGGGTGAGCTGCACTTCCCAGAAGGCCCCTACCTGTATTACGAGAGCCAACAGTGAGTAGGCCCCTGCCACTCCCCCCCCCAACCGCCACCTCCAGTCTGACTGTGCCCAGTAACTGGACCGTGACAGCCACTTTCAGTCTGGAAATGACACCCTCTTAATGGATCTGCCTGCAGACGGTGTGTCTGGACCCTGTTGGCCCCAGAGAAAATGCATGTACTGCTCAGTTTTTCCCACTTGGATGCAGAGTCTTGTCACCACAGTTACCTCTCGATGTATTCCGTAGAAGACAGACTTATCGGTGAGCGGATTTTCACGTTGTCAAATGGACACTTGTGCTGGGAGGGCTTCACGGGGCCGGGATGCCGTACGTCCGGCACCGAGGCATCTCTAAACACCATGCTGCCCGTCTCCAAGTTTGAGACTCGGGATTGACAATGGAAAGGAACTGAATCTGAGCCATTTTGTTTGCTGCATCTGCTTTCCATGGAACCAGGCTTCCTAGATTCGTGTGCCAGGCCTGGAACCCCTCAGGACTAAAATACAGACCCATCACAGGGGAAATGTTGCTTTCCCAGGCACGCAAACGACCTGTACTGCATCGTCCAGCTAAGAAGGAAAGTACCAATGGATAACCATGAGTAGAGGCAAAGGTTACTTGTGCAAGAAACAGAGATGGAGGAGCATTTCTGTGGTTCCTAACAGGAGGTGATTTTTGCCCCCCAAGAGCTACGTGGCAATGTCTCAGGGCATTTCTGGTCGTCATGACTAGAGGGAGTATTACTGGCATCTGGCGAGCAGAGACCAGGGATGCTGTAAAACATCCCATAATGCACAAGACAGTCTGAACACCAAGCATGTTCCAGTTCAAAGATGTCAGTGGTACCAAGGTTGAGAACCCTTGGCTTAGACAATCCTGTCCTATCAGGACAGGTCCAGTTCTCCTTAAGTCTCTCAATGGGTGCTGTTTTCTAGACTCTGAACCAAGACTCTTGCTTCTTGTGTTGCAGGAAAGTTCTGTGGGAAGAGCCTCGCTTCATCAGTTCTCGTTGGCTCCAACTCTGTACGGCTGAATTTCATCTCTGATGCCACAGATTATGCAGCGGGGTTTAACCTCACCTATAAAGCTCTAAAACCAAACTACCTTCCTGGTAAAACCACTTACTTTTATCCCACACCATCCAGGCTACCTAGAGAAGTCGGAGGCCCCGTAGGAATTAGGAGGGGGGACCACGAGGCCAGGGAGAGGCCCGTGCAGGGGCTCCTTCCACAGTCCTGCTAACTCGTGTTTATCACACACGAGCTGGGAGGGTGAATGAGTCCTGGAAAATCAGCACACAGACCTCTTCCTTCGTGGTGGCTCTGCCTGAAGAGTCAGCCGCTGCATCATTTGTGGGAGACAGGAGGGAGCCCGAAGAGGATTCCTCTTTGCTTGAGTGATGCCATTGTTGGGACGTGTCCCCTTGTGTTTCAGATTCAGGTTGCAGTTCCTTTACTGTCCTTTTTAAAGAAGGTCTCATACAGAGTCTTCACTATCCTGAAGACTACAGTGACATGGCCAACTGTAACTGGGTTTTTCAAGCCCCCAAACACTACTTAATTAAGGTACTGACCCTGCTTACCCTTCACTTTGCTCTGGTATCTCCACAGAAATCATGAGGGCAGAAGTTTGTTGTGTGTGTGTGTGTGTGTGTGTGTGTGTGTTTAAATCAGATTTATTCACTCCTGTATCCCTGGTCCCTGGCATACGAGGCTCTTGATAAATAGGCGTTGAATAAACAGACCAGCCTATTTTCCCTGTAACTACCCCCATTCACCACTAGATGGCAATCGTGTGCTTTACTTTCTGTTGGAGGGCTGCCCTCATCTGTACCCGGTGACAGGTTTAATCGGTTTCTAGTCCCTTCTAGAAACAAGCATTTCTTCCTTGTTCATTAAACTGCTAGCAAAACGCTTTGTAAGTAATGGCTAACAAAACTCAATGCCAAGAAGGCCCCAAACATCAAGCTTTCCATGCAGAGGGAACAGAACAAGCACAGAGAAGCCAGTATAGACCAGGTTGAGGGACAGGCTGATGTCCGAGGGTCACAGGTGTATGGGGAGGGGTCGTAGAAGGTGAGGCTGAGACCAAAGTACAGAGGGTTTTCAATGTCAGGATGCAGAGTTTATTCAGCATTTGGTTAATAGTGTTTGTGGCCACGTGTTTGTTCATGAAGCACCAACGGGCCGTCTGCAGAGAGAGGCCACTGGCGGGTTGAGGGTAGGACTGCGGTCACAATGAGGTCGGACGTAGGCATCGATTTGGAAGTCTTTCTCTTAAAATGATAATTGAAAGCGAGAAAGTATATGGACAGAAAAGGTAGAAAATAAAGGGGAACGAGTAAGGATGGACAATACCTCCAGGTTCTCGTATATTTAAGAGGCAAACAGAAGCCTGAGACTCAGGAGCAGGTGTGGAGTTAGGACAGTCCAGAGAATGGAGTCTTTCATTTAAAACACAAAACAAGCAAACATACAAAGAGGTGTGGCCCACAGTTTGGATTTCCCACAGAAAGTGAGTTTGAGGAGGGCTGAGTATTCGCTACCCAGGCCTCGGCTCATCCCCCAGCAATAGGGTAAAATACTTGAATTGACATTAACATAACAATAAAAAATAAAAAAAATACTTGAATTGACAGTTGAGCAATGGAGAGCAGGTGGGAGAGGAAGCACCTGGAAGAGCCAGTCGGACGTTCGTTCGGAGCAGGAACAAGATCTCACAGGTTTTACCAATGAGTGGGAGAAGACACAGAGGAACTGAGGTGTAGATCTCCTCTTTCTCAAAGCTTCTGGAACCCAGTCAAAATAGAAAATTTCAGGTGGAAGCAGAATTAAGGGAAGCTTTGTGATGAGTGATGGAGGATAAAAGTTGATGTATCAGTGAATTACTGGAAGGAGAAAGAAGACAAAATTTAGCTGAAAATCTGAATGTGCCAGAGCTGATGGGATTCAAGACCACCCTTTCAATCTGTGTGTACTGAGTGCCATGCATGAGTGGCGTGATGCTGTCTCTCCTTGTGGTGACAGCATCATGGTGCAGGACCCCTCCAAGAGGAATTGGGAAATTAGGATTACAAGGCATAACCATGTGCATAGTTCCTCAGAGAGAAAAGGGTCTATTTCCGGAAAGCATCGCAGTAAGGGTTTAGAAATGTTTGAATGAATCCTGTTTTTGACCCTCTCCTTCTCCCCGTGCCTACCTTCACCACTAGTGATCATTTACCTCCATGCTGTCCCCTCCACGCAGCCCTGTGTCTCTCGCCGAGTGTTCAGTCTTCACTGAATCCCATCATCTGTGTGTTTAAAATCTTGAATTCCTACCTCGTCTCCCACTGCTCCTCTCTTCAAAGTCAATTAAGACCCCAGGTGCTAGCAAATTGCTCCGCTTGTTCTTTGCTGTTTGTTTGCTCTTCGTGGGAGGGCGCCAGGGAGCTCAAACATTTGCGCTTTTCCCCACCCTTGTGTGGCCCGGGGCCTTATGTGTCTGGGGTGGAGCAGTCTGTGGTATAGCCTCTTTTCCTAAGTAATTTAACCCATTCATGAATGCCCGGTTCACATCCCAAAGCAAGTTGAGCAATCCAAATTTCTCTGCTTACTCAAAATCAGGTCATTCGTTCATGTGATTTGCTCTGTATATAACATGGAGTCTTGTCAGCTTTCCTTTCAGAGTCTGGAAGTAGAGGAAAGTGGGGACTGCACTTCTGACCACGTGTCTGTGTACAGAGATGTGGAAAGGCAGGAGGAAATAGGTGTGTGCCCCGCCCCCGGAGCCTCGGCTCCCCTGGTTTGCACCTGGATCCAGTCCCTTTGGGTGAATCCTTCTCGGGAATAAAAAGGATCGGGCTTCAGCTTCCTTCATTGCCCTGCACCCCCTCCCTCCGTCCCTAGGTGCTCATGACCACCCCCCCTTCTCCCAGATCAGGGGCAGGAAGAGCGGGAGCGAGGACCAAGAGCCATCTAGGGGTCAGAAGGGGCAAGTGCCATTGAAATGAGCCCTGTGGCTCCAACCAGTTCCCTCAGTGGCATTCCCAGTGGGAGTATTTGGGAGATAAACAGAACTGAAGCATTGCTGGAGTTCAGTACCTATTAAAAAGAAGCAAACTGCCCTTCTATTTTGAAAACGAATTGGGACACCCACCAAAAAAGTTTATTTCTCAACAATTGCCTAAAGGACTTTTTTTTTTTTTCTCTCCAATGTCACATCTATTTGCTGGGCCCTTGACCGCGTCTTGCCTGGGCTGGGCTTTACCCAGCTCGGCTGTGTGGCTTTGTTGCCCCCACCCCTGTGCTGAGCTCTTCTGGTGTAATGCTCATCAGCTTCCAGTCGGATGACAATGTGACCTTCAGAGGCTTTCAGGCTACAGTCTCTTTCATCCCCGAAACCGGTAAGAAGACAGAGGCATCAACTTCTTGGGTCCCGATTCCAATCCTCCTAATGTGGTAGGAAAGGGCAGCCTCTGTGGCCCAACATGGATACAGTGGGTTCTCAGTATTTGCAGCAGCTCGGTTCTACAAAGTCACCATGAACATCAAATCAGTGACTACTGACCCACGGCTCCTAGGGGAAGTATGGGGTTGGGTTCCTGGGAGCCTCTGGTTTTAGGGGTGTTTCTGTCTAAAGTCACCTTCTCCAATATATCTTGTTCATTCATTCACACTGAACTCACAGCCAGCACCCCAAAGCTCGAGCCTGAGCAAAGCTTATCTATCACGTGTATTTTCTCCCCAAGGCATGTCACAGCCTCCTTGCCCTTACGAACACCAGATGGCACCTCAGCCCTATGTTACATTTAGGGCCATTTCAAACTGCAAAATCACCAGCAAAAAGCACAGGGATGCCAAAAACCCCATGGCACGCAACAGACCATGGAAAGGACACTTGTTTATAGTATAAGAGCTAAAACAAGAAGGCAGAGTGTTGCCTCGTTCAACCTCACCTAGGAACGTGTGCATCGGGTGACTCAGATTTTTCACTGCTCTGCATTTGTCGTTGAATGATCATGAAAACACCATTCCTTCTGAGTTAGAAATAAGTGTTAGGGAGTAGGTGAATTTGCAAACGTGGAATCCATGAAGAATGAGGACCGACACTGTGTCTGAATCATGGCCTGTGCTTATTAGGTGTGTGGTCTGAGAGTCATCTGAGACTCCTTTTCTTCGCCTTACCATGGGGAGGGTACATGCCTTGAAAGAATATAGTGAGGATTAATCGGATCAGGTGCGCTTGGCCATGAGCAAGTGTGTGACACAGAACAGAGGCCTGTATATGTGAAATGTCTTCACCAACCCTCAGTCCCTAGGCACATGGACAGCACAACTCCCCTCCATCCTCACATCCCTGAGCATTCTGCCCAAATCCTACAAAGCCAGGTGTCGGCTCCTCAAGTTGTTTATGCCTGTTAGACAAGCAGCTGCTTACGGCAAACCTGGGTTATAGTTAAAATACTCCACTTTTCGGTTAAAATACCCACAGTCCAGCTGACTGAGATGCCCCAGAATGCTCACAGTAATAATTTTCTGGTAAGTCCCGAACACGGGCCCTGCGTGTGTGATCTGAGCAATTGTGTATGCTTGCACTCAGATTTAAACATCTCCAGATCAGAGAATGAGTCGATGTTTTTGGAGACATGGAATGTACTACCTGAAGACCACAATGCTTCCGGTAAGCTTTTTGGGGGAATGTGACTGAGAGATACCCACAGAGCATATCAGCCAGGGTTCAACCAGAGAATCCCAAAAAGATATGTTGGAGTGCTAACCTCCAGTACCCCCAGAATGTGACGTTATTTGGAGCAAAAGTCTTTACTGAGATAATCAAGTCAAAATGGAGTCCCTAGTGTGGACCTTAACCCAATATGACTGGTGTCCTTATAAAAGGAGAAACTTGGATGTGGAGAGAGAACGTCAAATGAACGTGAAGGTGGAGACTGGGTGATGCATCATCTACCAGCCAAGGAACACCAATGATCACCAGCAAACCAGCAGAAGTTGGGGGAGAGGCACCCTCAGAAGGAACCAACCCTACTAATACCCTGATCTCACACCTATAGCCTCCAGAACCAAGACACAATAAATTTCTGGTCTTTTAAGCCATCCGGTTTGTGGGTTTTGTTGTTGTTGTTGTTGTTACAGCAGGCCTAGCAAGCGAATACGCCAGGAACTGGCTAACGTGGCTGTGGGGGGTGACCAAGCAATTAAATCCATCAGGCAGTCAGTCAGAAAGGGAAGATGACAGGACACTGGAACCCCACAGGCACGGGCTGAAGGTACTGTCCCCCGGGCAGAATTTCTACTCTTTTTGGGGGAAGTTTCAGCTCTGTTCTTAAGGCCTTTCCAACTAATTAAGTCAGGCCCACCCAGATTATCCAGGATGATCTTCTTTACCTGAAGTTAATGGATTAGGGACTTTTATTACATCTGCTAAATCCCTTTACAGCAACACCTTGGTTGGTGTTTGATGGAATAACCGGAGGCTGTGGCTTAGCCAAGTTGACACATCCAGAAAGCCATCACACCAGAAAGCTGTATGGGACGGATGTGCTCATTGTCCATTTTGCTCAAAGAAACACTGAAATATTTCCAGTCCCAAGAAGCAAGACTCCCATCTAAATTGATTCATTTAGTGGAAATGGCTAACTAGTATGCCACATTGGAGTCTGACCCACGAGATCTGTCCCTAAGAAAAGTGAGTATCCCACTCCGTGTTAATGCCAGTGAGCATGGAGAAGCGCTGGGCCTTCTCTTTTCCTTGTTTATTCCGTGACATCCACTGACATCCACGTGCAACATCTTGGTCCATGTGGAAAACATGGTGAGCGGAGCAAGCAGAGGAGGGGGCAGGGAAACTTGTATCGTTTGCCATTTTGATAGTTTGCCAAGAGAAAATTCGAGTGCCTTATTTTTAATTTTTTCTTTTTAGTTTTATAAAATGTCTGATACATGGAACATAGAACAGAGTGTGGAGAGAGAATATTCCTTTTAATGAAAAGGAGTAAAAGCAATGAGTCTTTTTGTTCTGGATTCTTGGACCTCGTGATGCATGGACGCCTTAGGTAGAACATCTTTGTGAAGAGTGGCTGCAGGGGCTCCTTCTCTTCACCACCCTGGGGGTGCACTCAGCAGAGCCATTTTTCCCAGCCTAAACCAAGTACAGATTTTTCTAAGGACTCTCATTACAATGCTCAGCAAGATTTATTCGGCATTCTATCCCCAGCACCTACTGCAGTGCTCAGAACACGGCAGATGCCAAATAAATATTTGGTGAATAAAATGAAATAATCCACAAATAGCCCTTGAAGACCTCAATAAGAGAGACTTTTCTGATTTTCTGTCACTGAACTCACACATTAGGGCCCTTTTCCTTTATACATAAAAACTTAGGAAGAACAAGAAAAAGAGTTTACATGTGCCCTGTTTTAAATAGCACCCCTAACCTGGATTACTTAAATCATTCAGTAAGCAATTCTGTCCTTCAATTTTTTTTTTTTGAAATGTCGCAAATCTATAGAATAGGTGAAAGAGTAATACAATGAACTCCTCTTTATCCCCCACTTACATTCATTCATTGTCGACATCCTGTCACATTGGCTTCTCATCTGATGCCTTCTCTGTACAAATCTCCATACCAGAGCCCAGGGCACGGGGGGGAGGAGGTGCAAAGAGGAACAAGATATAGCACTTTTGTTCAAGTAATTTATATCCTACTAATGAAAATTATGTGTACAAATTAAGTGACAAGTAAAGAGCAGATACCGAATGATTTCCATTTACATAAAACCAAAATCGCTCAAGATTACTATACGGGAGTAGACGTCAGGATAGCGGTTACCCTTTGGGGGAGTAGTGTCTGGAAGGGCTCCTGGTGGGATTCTGCTAATCTGTTTCCTGACCTGGGTTCTGGTGATACTTTTTGAAAATTCAACGTACTTTATTACTTGAGTATTTTTCTGGGCAGGTGCTATACGTCAATAAAATTCACAACAAAAGAAAAGAGTGTACAGAAAAAAATACAAAAAATACTGAAATAACTTCTGGATGAGACAGTTATAAAACTGGTGTTTGATTTGGGCCCACAAGAATAATGTCACCATTATTCTACACCCTGTGGGGGACCCTTCGATGGTTTTAATTGGGGAGTGACATGATCGAAGAACACTTTTTGTTCGTTAATTTGGGAGTGTGAGAAGGATAGGGAAAGATCACCTGTTGGGGGAGTAGTCCTGGTGAGCAATATTGAAGACTTGAGTTCAAAGGTAGAAGATGGATGTGAGATATATTGCGGATTTGGGATCTAAAGTGTTTGGAGACCAGAGAGTTGGAGCAAAAAACAGGGGGGAGTCGAGATGAGCTCAATATTTTACTCTTGGGTGATATACCCACTTCTGGTAACATATGTATTTTTTTCCTCTCTCTAGAATACAGTAAGCAGTTCTCATCACTCCCAGGTGTCTATTAAAGTGCCCGCACAAGGGAGATACTCAGAGCTTACAATCTGGGCTTGATGGTGAGGAGGATCCATGGGTAGGTAATAAGGATGGGTTTTCCTGGCCCCTTCCCTGGTAACCTTTGCAGAGCTGCTTGCCCTGACCCTCCCAGGTTCCTTTCCAGCTAGACTGTAGGAGGCAAGGAGGCAGCTCAGCCTGCAGACTGCCACCAGGCATCTCTGCAAAGGAACCATCTTTGGGAAGACCTGGGTAGTCACTGCTACCTGATGCTTCGCCAGGATGTAAGTACACCTAAGACAGTGGAACAGGGTAGGAGCTGATGGTTTAAGCTGGTTGATCATTAATTCTTCAGCCACTACCTCGGATATCCATCAGGGTCTGCTGCCACGGCCCTGTTCACCACCATCATGGGCAATCCACTTCCCAGGCAGAACTTGAGTTCCTGAGTGTTCAGGAAAGTTCTGCCCCTTCATACTGTGCTTCTAGTTTATTTTAACTAAACGTCAGGCTGGCAACTGGAGACATTTTATCATGGCCCTCCTAAGGATTTTCTAATCAGAAAAAGTATTAAATTTTGTGAAATATTTTTTAGCATCTTTCAAAATGATTAAATGGTTTCTCCTTTGATTTATTAATATCTTAAATCCTTAATTAATAGATTTCCTAATATTCCTACATTCCTGAAATGAATCCCACTTGGGCATGGTACATTCATCTTCAATGTACTGCTGGGTTCTATTTAATATTCCACTTAGATTTTTGCATCAACATCCATAATTGAAATTGACTGATAGCGGAGGCTTTAAAATGTGGCCTTTATTTTATTTTTTTAAGATTTTATTTATTTATCCTACGGAGAGAGACATAGCAAGAGAAGGAACACAAGCAGGGGGAGTGGGAGAGGGAGAAGCAGGCTTCCCGCTGAGCAGGGAGCCCGATGCGGGGCTCGATCCCAGGACCCTGGGATCATGACCTGAGCCGAAGGCTAATGCCTGAGCCACCCAGGTGCCCCAAAATGTGGCCTTTAGATGGCTGGGGATCTCTAAGATCCTTTTAGGGGGTCTGTGAGGTCAAACTATTTTCATAGTAATACTAAGACATCATTCTTCCTGTCTAATTTCATTCTCTCACAGTGTGCGGTGTTTTCCAGGGGCCACACACCGTGTGACAGCTCAGCAGATTGAATATAAAAAGCAGATAGGTGGCGTCTGGTTGGCTCAGTTGGTTAAGCGTCCAACTCCTGATTTCAGCTCAGGTCATGATCTCAGGGTCCTGAGATGGAGCCCCATGTGGGGCTCCCGGCTCAGCTGGGAGTCTGCTTCTCCCTCTCCCTCTGCTCCCCCACTCGGCCCCCCTTCTCTCTCTCAAATAAATAAATAAAATCTTTTTTTAAAAAGGCAGATAGGACATCTCGTCTGTCTTCTGTTTAGCCAGACATTAAACAGTTTTAAAAATATGTGAAACAGGGGTTGCCTGGTGGCTCAGTCGTTGGGCGTCTGCCTTCAGCTCAGGTCATGGTCCCAGGGTCCTGGGATGGAGCCCCACATCGGGCTCCCTGATCCGCGGGAAGCCTGCTTCTCCCTCTCCCACTCCCCCTGCTTGTGTTCCCTCTCTTGCTGTCTCTATTTTTTTCATATAAATAAATAAAATCTTTTAAAAAAATATGTGAAACGATGCAAGTCTTATTTAGAGTTTCTGTTTTGGAAAATGTAGTTATTTGAATAAACATGTTATTTATGCTAATGCCTAATGTTTTATTATGGTTATCTTAAATAAATTAGCAAATACATAATTTTTAAAGTTTCTGCTTTAATTTCTAGTAGTTAACTGTTGATAAATACAACTCACATAAACAAAAGTTCTTTAAGATTCTCAGTGATTTTTTTCAAAGTGTAAAGGTGTCCTGTGACCAGTAAGTTTAAGAACTCTGACCTAGAGCTTTCTTTTTACTGTCTGCCTTTGTCAGACTTTGATTATCAGTGTTCTTGATGAAAAGAACTGGGGAATTTTCCTTCTTGCTCTATGCTTTGCACACGATTTAGAACATAGGAATGATTATAATGATGTCATGCAATCACATATACTAAGCGTCTATTCCTTGAAGGCTTAAAGGTAACTTTCTCAATTTCCTTCATTCTTATTGGCTTTTAGGTTTAAAATTTTCTCTTTCAGTCAATTTTGATAATTTTTAATCTCTTACTAATAGCTATAACATTGA